TGATTGACAGTCCCCTGGCAGGAAGAGATGAACCAAGCTTTGGTGTCACTGGGCCAAGGGGAAACTCTGGGCCCCCTGAGATGCTAACTAAAGCCCAATGAAAGAATCTCCATTGACAGTTTGATTCCTTAACAAGGCAAAAACAAACCAACCTACATCAATAAGTTCTTATATGCACCAAAAAAAAAAACATGTACAAGAATGATCATAGCGACATATTTCCTGGAAACAACCCAAATATCTGTTAATAGAATTATGGGTAAATCAACTGTAGTATATTCAAACAACGGAACACCATACAGCAAAGGAAACGAACAAACTACTGCTACATGAGGTGACACAGATGAATCTCAAAACTATTGCAAACTGAAACCATCTACTCCCCACCCTGAGCTTAGATACTGAGGACTGACACCATAAACCACTCCAGGGCTTACTGTTTATTAGGATTTTATTATTCCATAGTCTTTGTTAGCATAGCTTTACTATTCCAGGACACTCTTGCCCAGGCAAACAACTTTATTGTTCATTATAGGAACTTCCTGAAAGACCTATCATCTCGTCAATAGAAAACATCAACCGTTTCCATCTCAAGAGTCTTTGAACCTCTCACCTCAAAATTCTTGCCTTACTCTTCCCAACAATCCTAAAAGATATCATAATTCTTGTTAATCCTATTCAAGCCTTCCCATCAAAAGACTCACCTTAAACCAGAATTAAAATCTGAAATTCAACTTTTCCTTCCCCCTCCAACACACTACCAAAGGTCTTTCAAGGTGGTGTTCTCCCTGACGGCAGTAGGCAATACTCTCAGCTTTGTCTTATGAACAGATTGTCCTGGTGATATGCCAGGAGCCAGCATTCAACAGCATAATGTGTAGTGAGAAAAACCAGACACCAAAAAAACATGCTTTATGCTTCAATTTATATTGAGTTCAAGAATAGGCAAAAATAATCTGTGCTGATGGAAATCGGAACTGTAGCTACTCGAGAGGTACGTATTGCCTGGGAGATGACATGAGAGAGTTTTCTGGATGCTGGAGATGTCCTGTATCTTGATCTAGATGGTGGTTACATGAGTATACACATATGTAAAAGTTCGTTGAGAAGTACATTTTGTGCGCATTTTACTGCATGTAAAAAAAGGAGGATTTAATAAAAGATTTAAAAATTTTTGTTGAAGTTCAAAATTTAATAGGTGTCAGAGATTATGGGGAGAGCTGACTGTAGTTTTTAAATTATTGCTTTAGTCAAGGGGTCGCCTTAAATGACGTGGAGTCAGGTATTGTGAGAGATCCCAACATGGCGACCTCGGTTTTGCTTTCAAACCCTTCTAGGCATCATGTACACCTGAGACAGGAGAGGTCACTGCCATTGGCCTTGAACCCTGCACATGAATCGGTGATATTTGTACACATGTAACAAAGGAGGTTGTGGTGAGAATTAGCAATTGGAACACACAGTCTTCCACGTACAGGATGCAACTTGTGAATATAGACATCTTGAAACAGCCCTTCTTAGGGACTTACAGTGTTACTCCTGTAAAAACCTAATGTGTGGGATATTGCATAAAGGGACTCACCACCCCTTCCTCTATTGTAAGGATGTGGCTACATCAGTTAAGATTACATCCAGAATTGTGTTGACAAAACTGGGGGTAGAGACAGTGTAGATGGGTTCTGCTCTCATTATTTGTGGGATTCACCCATGTTGTCTCGTTTGCAGTAGTCTGTTCCTTTTAATTGCTATATAGTAGGAAAATGTGTGTACATATGTGGTGAGTGTGTGTGTGTGTGTGTGTGTGTGTGTGTGTGAGAGAGAGAGAGAGAGAGAGAGAGAGAGGGAGGGAATCTGTTTGATCTGTTCCAAGAATTAACATGAAATCCAGCTCCAGAAAGGCCTAGCAGACTTCTATAACTGGAGTAATCAAAATAAGTATCTAAATTGACAAAGATATACACACACACACACACACACACAGAAATATTTCATGTGAAAAGGGAAGGAGGAACAATTTGTACTACTTTTGGGTAGGTGACTCAGTTCCTCTACTTGTTCAAACACGTTTCATTTTCACAAACCAGGCTGAGCCAAGTCCTATAAACCCACGCTGTTGTTAACCCTCCTCTCATCTCAGAAATGTAAAATGAGGAAAATTCGGGCTGTGCTACAAAATGTCCTGATAAAAGGCCAATGCTTAAAGTAGAAGTATTTCATAACTTTCATTTTTAAAATGAAAAAACAGATACGTATTTGATATTTATAAAACATCTCATTTAGTAGCTAGACGACGTAGATACCATGTACTTATGTTTCCCAAACACAGAGTGGGAATTATGGTTATTCTCCAGTGTTTACCATGGAAGGATTCCTCTGTTCACCCACAAGAACAATGGTTTTCTCGTACACTTGGGAAGTGTTCTTTAAAGACTGTGGACTGTTCCCTGAATTTTAGGATCTGAATCTTTCTTTTCTCTTTTTTGTTTTCTTCCCCAAAGTAGTATATGTTTATAGGAGACACTTCAGCAAGTATAGATAAGCAAAATGAATCAAGACAAAAATCACCCAGAATCTGATCCAAATTACTTTTTAGTGTATGCATATGTTATAAATATAAATATACATAATATTTTACTGTGTTGACTACATTTTATCAAACCAGTTCCTTGTTGTCGGACATTTAAGCTCTTGTCATTTTTCTAGGTATAAACAGTACTCCCAAAATTATCCCTGGAAACTGAACATCCTTGATAATCCTCTTAAAATAAAGGTCTAGGGTTTCCCTGGTGGCGCAGTGGTTGGGAGTCCGCCTGCCGATGCAGGGGACGTGGGTTCGTGCCCCAGTCCGGGAAGATACCACATGCCGTGGAGCGGCTGGGCCCGTGAGTCATGGCCGCTGAGCCTGCGCGTCCAGAGCCTGTGCTCCACAACGGGAGAGGCCACAGCAGTGAGAGTCCCGCGTACCGCAAAAAAAAAAAAAAAAGGTCTAAAGGTAAAAATATTGGGTTAAAAAGGATGGGCAGACTTTCTAGATTGTCACTTTTCTGAAAAATTGCACCAAATCCCATACCCGTTCATACTAGGGTAAGTGTCAGAGGAAACGTAATCAAAGAGATCTCACACACGTACAACAAAGAGATTGTAGTGAAGGTACCATTCCATCAATTTCCTTAGATTTCAATTCAAGAGATTTCCTTTATGCAGGTGGTTATTTGCAAATCTGGTAAGTACGGTAAAATGATCCTCAGAAGGAACTATCTAACCTTGAGGCCATGTGTGCTATTCAGGTGATTCAGTTTCTACAGAAATCTGTTTTTATGTTGCCAGGTGATGATAAGCTGTTTCAGTACAATCCCTGAGGGAATTTCCAGCTGAATTGAGGGGTTTAGAATATTACAGACCCAGAGTGTGAGCTATGAATAGAAATAAACTAGGGTAGAAGGGAACTTGTGTGAGCTATTTCCTCTGGACAATGGCAATGTCTACTGTGAAAGGATTTACAAACTAGAGGAAACGTTGAGTCACTCAAATCTGGGCTCTGATGGAGATGACTGAGGTCACAGGGGTCTGTCAAAGCCCCCTTTTGTGGGCGGAGAGTCTGAGTTCCAGGATTGAAGGAGACAAGACTCCAGCACCTGGGCAGGGGCAGCAGAGGGGGTGGAGGGGGCCAAGGAAAGAAGTGGGTTTTCACGTTAGACTGACCTGGATTTAAGCATAGTTTTATCACTTGCTAAAGATGTGGCCTTGGGTAGACTACTTAACCTTTCTGGTCTTAGAGTCTATACAATGGAGACAAGTATCCCCTACTTGGGCTGTTGAGAGAGTTCAGTGAAATAATGTGTGTAGAAACGAAGTACAGTAATTGACACAGAACTCAATAGTTGAGTTGCTATTATTACTATCATGGTTAATAATCATTATTTCCATTTCCTTTGTGGATAGATTTAGGAGGGAAAAATGCTTATGACTGATCATTATGCCTCTTTTTTGGATGCACAGGTTCTTAACCTGGTGTCTAAGAACTCCTAAGAGGTCCATGGATAGATATCTGTGGTGGGAGGAGGTGTTAAGCTTGGATGGGAAAAAAAATTGTCACTGTTTTTATTAACATCTAATGAAAATGTAGTATTTCCTTTATTGTGACTGCAGGTAACAAATCACAGCAGTATCAGCAACACTGATTGTCCTTTGAACAACAACACAAAATTACACATCTTTTCAGTATCATATTAAAATTGTTGCATGTATCTCAAAATATCTTCAATTGGAATCATATTTCAAAAGTACAGTAGTTCTTAGACTCCCCCCTCCTTAGCCCACTGCTAGATAACACGTGATCATTGTTTTCCAGTCTACAGATGTGGGTGTGATGGAGCTGCCCATCAAGACAACTATCTTATAATTTTAAAAAATATTTTGATAAAATAGTCAGATATCTGGGTTTACTTTGTCATCCTATGTCTTTGTTTTATGCATTTTAAACAGTATTCCTCAAAGGAGTCCATAAGCTTCACCAGACTGCCAGAAAGACAGAGGCAGGAGACCTGGCTCTTAGGAGGAGTTCTGCTGTCTAACAGCCAGTGAAGCTTCTTTATTCACTAGCTTGTCTGTTGCATAGGCCAATAAACACCAAAAGCTGACAATTTCTGAAGACAATTCCCAATAGGTCAGGGGATCCTGTCACTGGAGAGAGCCTAACGATACAACAGATGTAAGATATCGAGAGAAAATGTCTGTTACATTCCTCAGGAGTTGGATGTCTGGAGCACCCAGTGGAAAGGAAGGTTGCCTAACTAGGATGATGGCCCAAATGCAAGGATAGCAGAGGAAGGTGGAAGAGGAGGGAGAAGATGAAGAAGAGGAAGTGGGATAAAGAAACCAGAAGACACAAAGCCCCTAGCAATGGAGACCGTACAACCTGCAGACTGGAAAAAAAAAAAAAAAATAGGAAGAAAAAAGGAGGAACTTGAAACAAAGGATGATGAAACTAAACAACAAAATGGTAGTGAATACTTTATTTGTTGTATTTAAACAAGCAAATTTGGGGGGGTGGTGGTATTTCCTCATGGTCCTCCCACCCTTCCTCCCCCATGTTCCCATGATGCTAATCAACTGCTTTATTCCGTTCCCCATCTTCCTTCTTGTCCAATTATCCAGGCCTTTCTCGTTTTAAATCCATGATCCTCAGTCTTGTCTTTGAAGGACGAAAAGCTTTCCACGTGTTAGGAAAATTCAGGATCTGGTAGTCCTTGCGACAACTCGCTGCATGTGTATTTTGACTCATTCATTTGGCTTTGTGCATTCTCAACCTGTCCTCCCACGCCAGGTAAGTATCTGTCTCTTTTATAACATGAATCAATTCAAAAGGCCCCTTGTTAGAGATTTGCAGGCATGCAAATGGGAAACACCATATAAACAGTGAAAAAATACATCTTTTCAGGTTGTTGGATTTTCTCCTTAACGGTCTTAAAAAAAGCAACTAGAAATCTTTCATTTCATAAACACATGCACATATAAATATTTACAGTAGTAATCAGAATGTGATATTTATCCTTGTAATGTTTCTGAAAAAACATGACCTCGGCCAGAGTTTATCTCATGTAGGCTGAGAACTGTCACTCAGTTTGTAAATTACCTCCAGAGTGTGGTTTATTTTCTTATTCCTAAAAAAAAAAGAATTTCTTTGCTAAGTTCAGACACTGACATCCCGTGAAGATGCCAGTCTTTACACACACTTATAAAAGTAGAACATGTGCTGTATGACACACTAGTACAAAGTTTTACAAATTATTACAAGTAAATTATATAAATTACAGTGACATTGAGGAAGATTGTAGTTTTATCTTGGGGTGGGTCTTCTAGCAATCATATTGCTGTAAAGAAAATGAAATAAGCATCAGGTTCTGATCAGGCTAAACAATGATGACATTTCAGTGCTTTAAATTCCTGTTTTAAGCAAACGTAAAGCAGACAGATCTCAGCTTCAGCAGAGGTTGGGTCAACAATACTGAGAGCTTTGACAATGCTCACAGAACGGTTCCTAAACAAACCAGACTGTTGTCCTTCCCCAGTAAAAGCTGCAGAAAGAGGCCATGGAAACTGCAGTTTACGATGCTTGGCTGGCTTTGAATGTGCTTGGGGTGGGTTTTTAATCTCAGGGATTTAAGAGATAATGCCTTGGGAGTGTCACACTGATGGGGGCTCAAGGCAGGCAACTTTTGAATTAAATGCTACAGAGTTACAGATTTGACTCATCTACATTAAAAACCTTGCTCTTTGAAACTGTCTTTTGTCTTACAAACAAACTTAACAGATCTGACCTGCAGTGTCTGGGAAGAAGCCTCCCTACAGTGACTCAGATGGGAAACCCAGTGGGACTCTTGGTTCCCCCCACTCAGAGGAGAGTGTCATTCTGCTGAACCACTACAGCAATTTTGGTCGTTGACACTTATGCCCGTCCCCCAGATGCACCAGCGCTGAAGTGCAGTGGGTTCTCACCTCATTTAAACTCTGCCTTGTAGGAAATTCAAGGCTAAAGATAGGTTATTTTATAGTAATCCCAAGAGCATTCTTTGCCTCCCCCGCCGCAACCATATTGCCTGGAAACGACTCCAAATTGAAGGCTTTCCACTCCGCTGTTTTCTTGGAAATTTGGCAGGCTCCCAAGGCAATTATTAGTTTTGCTTTATTTGCCTGATAAGGAAATCTAGAATTTTATTTTAACTTCCCCTCAAAAATCGTAGAAAGTTTCCATCTATGTTCAGCAAAGTTTTTCACGGTAGCGATGGGCTTTTCGTTTTCATTAGGTTTTGTCTTATTTTCAAAGAAAGTTAGGAGATCTTGAACCAGAGAAGTGAATGCTTAGGAAAATACAAATTAAGTAAGTTTTTCTTTATCTAATCCTGCTTTACAGAATAAGACATTTAAAAAAAAAAATTGGACCAAAGCTGGACTTCCATCAATTCAGTAATATATGTTTTTTAGGAAAATATAGAAACAAAACCTTTCCTTACTAACAAATGCGTATTTCTCCTCAAAATCATATCCCCAGGAAACAAGTGCTTCCTGGTTTTCTTTCACAGTGAAAGGCTTTTAATGAGCTGCTATTCAAAGGCTACTAGTGATTCTCCAGGCTTAGCTGTTTGGGCATTATTGTGACTCCTTATTAGGAAGGAACTGTAGAAAACCCAACAGAAGAGCAAGTGCTGCATACAGGTTAAGAGAAGGAGCTGTGGCACAAAATGACCCAGGGTTTGAAGCCTGTTACTTCCTTACTAGGTGATCTTAGAAATGTTGCTCAATCTCTGCATCATAGGCTTTTCTGGAATAGGGGTTTAGCACAATGCTAAGGGCAATGGATGATGGCTGTTACTTGTGTATACTAGTTGGGAATGTGAGAGCAAGCAATGAAAGGACACTTCTTTTGTGTCTCTGCAACCAGAGCAGGGGCAGTGGGTTAGATCCTGAAGGGGCACTCTGTCTACGGGTGACATTGTTGTATATTCACAGGGCCAGCTACAAAAAAACCAAGATAACCCAGTGACTGTGACACTCAACGAAGCTTACTATTGAGTGCAAAACTGAATGCTGTAAATGCTATGCCACAAAAATGGAATAAACACTGGTAGTTGGAGCAGGGTTTGATGTTGGCTTTTTTCTCTAGGTTGAAAACTATGGTGCATTTTTACACAGGTTCTTACCTGTTGGCGAGAGCAGCAATAACCACAGATGCCTCCAAGCACTCCGTTTATTATTTGAAAGAGACACAAGATGAATTCAATTCCACCAAGTGCCAAGAGGATAGAAAACAGAGAGACATTCCATTCCACTGCATGCTTGGGTTCAATGCATTGGGACCATGTGGAGCTATCCAGAAGGTAACTGTGGATAAAAAGAGAGACTTCTGACATATGGCCACACCCAGTGGGATGTCTCATAAGCATAATTTTTGTGTGGTGTTCTTTCATTAATCAATAGATTTCTTCAATGCCCTGTATCAGATTCTTCCAATCCAAGTCATTCCACAAAATGAGGAATTTAGCCCAGATCTTGTTGCCGTAATAAACAAGAAATTCAACAAAGATTATGGAACACACGGTGTGGGTTAGACATCAAGACAGAGCTGGGGATATAATGGCCTGGGTTCTGTCCTGGAAAAGCATCGCTTAAGAGAAGAAACAGTAGCTAATCTCAGTGTAACCAGTACACTGATCAGGTAAACCAAGGGTGAAAGGGCCATAGAGGAACGACACCTAACTTAGGCCAGGGAGAAGAGCTGCTTATGCATCTAGTCCACAAGTCTGAGCTCCATGAAGGTAGGAACCAGACCTATTCATCATTGTATATCCAATTCCCAAGCCAGTATCTGACACACAGTAAGTACTCAACACATTGGAAAAGTCATCGAATGATGAATAAGAATCCGAAGTCACTGTAAAATGTTAGCAAACCACACTGGGGTCATTATCTGAACATATATATTCCTCACGAAATAGGGTTCCATCACGTGGGAAAATCTAAGATTCACTTAATTCCACTAAGAGATCTGGTATCATTCTTTCCTTATCACTTCTTCCTACCACAACAGAACGAAAGGGCTGCAAATTAGAGAACTCGCTTTGGAATGGTTCATTGAGCCAATCAGAAATTCAATTTGTTGATTACATACAAAAAAATTCTGTTCTCCTGGTCCCGTCTTTCTGCATATAAAGTGGAACAAAAATCCACAGTTTCAGAACACAATATAAAAAATTTCTCTGGCTCCACTTGGCTATTGAGCAACTAATCACTGGCTTGTTATTCCCCATATTGAAATCTCTGGACAAGTTGAAATTAGGAATAACACAGAAGCAGGAGGTTTCTTGCAGGAGCTGGGGTGGATCACGAGAGGGGCTATAAAATTATCAGCTATAAAAATGTTTAATGATACTCTCACCTCTCCTTGGATTAATCATAATGTATTTTAGAGGTGGGTTTGTGCAGTAGATCATATGTTTTTGTATACATGTGTAACCAATTTGTACTGGTACATTCAGTACGTTCACAACAAAGCATGAAAAGTATGAGCTGAAAAATCGTGATCAATAACAATTTTGAACACCAAAATTTCAAACTCCTATGAGTGCTGATTTTCCTTCAGAAGCTACCATTGGGCTGTACCTGTCGAAAGCTAGTAGATAATATTAACAGCTAAGAATGGCACTGCTCATGCTGAGTCAGCTTCTGTGACAAATATTTTATACATAATATCTTATTAATCCTCCAGACAACTGCCATTGGCTTTATTTTATTACAGATGAAATAACTGAGGTGCAGAGAGCTCAGTTCACCTTTTCCTGGTTACTGAGACAGTAAATGCAGAGTTGAGATTGAGCCCAGGTCTATCTAATTCCATATTCATGATCTGATGGCTTCATTATATGCTACAAAATTCATGGGAGACAAACATTCTTGAAAATATAAGGGCAATTCAAATTCATTATTCTTATTATTTTCACTCATGAATCTCATTACTAAACCTTTCAAAATTCAAAACACAATGTCATTCATTTATCATTATGTACATCAGTTTCCATCAGCTATTTCTGTTCTTTTCTCAATAACGGATAAGAAATAAGTATCAACATAAAGCAATGGAGCCACTTAAATTTTCCTGATGTTTAAAGTCATGAATAAGATCTGTCTTATACAGCCTGATCACTTTAAATAAAGGGTGTGTTATACACAGTTATTATGTTATATGTGAGTGTGTGTGTGTGTGTGTCTTGGGGGGGTAGTATGATTGACCCTGGGCTTTGGTTAAATTCATATGGTTTTCATCCATATTATATAAGGATTCCATAATATTTTCTTAGAAAATAGTAAAATTAGCCAATTGCTCTGGCATAGTATACACACTGTATAAGCACAAACTTCACAGCTAGGCTGCCTGGGTTCAAATCATGACTGCCATGTCTTAGCAATGTGACTTTGGATAAGTTACTTCATCTCTCTGTGCCTCCACTTCCACATCTGTAAAGTGGAAGCAATAGTGGAAGTCACCTCATACCGTTATCACAAGGACTGAGTCAGTGAATCCATTAAAAAGCTTCTCTGGGTCAGGGACTGGGCATTCATCCTCCGATACCCCTTGCCTAAATTGTGCCTGAGTTAGTGAGAATAAACCTGGTTGAGAGGATGGATGAATGAATGGTTGATGCCTTTTTAGTTTGATGGGTTTACCACTATACACACGTGGTGGATGAGAATGTGCGACCTGATGGGGGTCAATCACTTACCCTCCCTCCGTGTTGGCAAAGGTGTAGTTCCATTGGCCACTGGCATCAAGACATCTTGGTCCTTCCGCTAAGCCCAGTGCTGCCACAATGACGCAGTAGCCAGATCCCGCAATTCCGATGAGAGCGGCCAGTACAGAAGAAATCATCTAGGGAAAGGAGGATCACCAGAAGTGAGGCACAGAGCGTTGCAGCTACCTCTTAGGGACCACTTCCGCACCCGGCGCAAGAAAACCTACCGCACATCTTTTGCCGCAGTTTTCGTGGCCGCCACAGCCGCAGCAGTCGTCCTGTTCCAGCCCCATGAAGATGAATGCTGGCAGGAGCATCTGTTTAGAAAACACGCAAATTAAAGTCATTGTCTTTCTCCCGGTCCATAGGGTCAGTCAGGCTCAGCATCTTTTGGTAAAATATTTTTCTTTCTGACACTGTTGAATGTCTTTGGGTTAGGTTGACAAAATATCTCAAAGAATGGAAACTCTGAGGAGAGAAAAAACGCTCTAAAGGGCAATATCCCTTTGTTTTCATGTAATGTATCACATTAGGTAGGGTCAGGTTGTAGCATGGGAGGGGTAAAATAATTACCTATACATGTGTTAATCCATAAGAGTTCATAACATAGTTCCAGAGGCAAACTCTGTTCGGAAACTATTAAACCCTGTCTTTTAAGTCTGTTGGTTTGTTTGAAAAGCATAGAAGATAACAACAAATCTTCAACAGAATAACTGAAACTTTTTTATAAACAAGAGAGATGAAAGCTCTGTATAATAGAGGTGAAGTGCTTCTTTGAAGACACATTGCATGGTTGTAGCTTCACAATAAAGCTCTTAAAATAACATAAGTTTGAAATACTTTGAGTTCAAGATCAAAAGAAGTTTAAACAAGCAAGGTGTTGTCTTAAAGACAAATGATTATGAAATTAACTATACCTCAAAAAATAAAACAAAACAAAAACAGACCTGAGAACTAGTGGGGAAAAAAAAGACAAATGATTATGTTAACATGATGGTAATGCTTAAATTCAAAGCAGATTTGCCATACCATAGTTAGTACATTATGTCTAAGTATCTTTTACTTGACTAAGAAAAATGTTCTGTGTGGTATTAGCAATTCCATAAAACTTCTGTTCAAAATTCTCAATCCCAGCATTTCAAAGAGGCAAACTCAAGTTTGTCCACATTATTTCCATGCTGTGGTTGAAACTAATACTTTCAGCTCCCAGGTTGGCAGGCAAATTCTTCTCACTTCACTTCAAAACAAACCTTGGAACAAACAACACATTCCACTATTACCTTCAGACACTGATTTGCTGCTAACTGAAGGATTTTTCCTAAATGCCACACACCAAGCTTACATAAAGGAGAAAATTTATAGTTCTTTCTCAATAGCCGTGCACTCACAATTCAATATTTTTCTCTGTCACTGATGCGTGAGAATAAACAGCAGAGAATTTGGATCCAAAACTCTGTTGATTTAGACAGAGAACCAGCGGACTTCTCCCAGCTCCCCAGAGCAAAGGTTAAATGACTACCTGCTCCGGGACTAGAAACTATAGTTTTTCAAATCTGATTTAAAAGCTAGTATCTGTTTCTAGCTGTAAAGTAAGAGAGTTCAGCAAAAAAGTAGTTCACTTTTCATTGAAAGGGGATTTTGTAAAACAACATCTAATAAAATCAATACACTATACCTATCTCAACTTTTGTATAATCTGCTTTCAAAAGAAGAATGAACAAAATTCCTGGATTTGGAAACATGCCTCATAGAAAACTTTCTGTGAAAACATCTCGTCTAACAAGAAAGAATTCTTTAAGGCTGGAATGATTCTGAATGACTTACCAGCAAACCTCCTCCTATGATGCCAGAGAAGAACCACACAAAGTGGCTAAGATGGTCTTCAGAAGCGTACTTTGTTTCCCCATTGGGAAAGTACAGCAAAATATTAGCTACAATGCAGACGATGGCGAGCCACACCAGAGAATGTCCGATGCATCGTGCGCATTTCCCGTAGCACATAGTGGCAGAGTTTCTTTTTTCCCCTTCACTCTGCGCCTTGGCTCGGTGATGGCCCAAATCAGATGAGAGCGTGCCCGTCTGCGGAGAAAGCAAAAGACATTCTCAGCCCATTCCTGCAACCTCTTAAATACTCTGAGTTCTAAGTCACCGGGTGGATGAGGTACTTGGCTCTCATTGGTCCTGATCGCAGGCTCCGGTTGGGGGCGGGGGGGGGGGGGGGGGGGGGGGAATGTCCCGCCCTTCAAATGAAATCCTTGGGACAAGCGAAACCAGGGGCAGGACTTGAGAAACCGCCTCAGCCATAGGCAAGAGAGAAGTTGATTAATCCTCCACAAGGAATTCACTGTGTAACTCCTTCGCAGGATTAAAAAAAATCCACAGGAAAGTCTAATATAACTTTCCAGTAAGTGCCAAGCGTCCACAGCATGACAGCTCTGGTTGAGGCTGTGATTTTGTTCCATGCAGCTGTCTGGACAGCTTCCAGTCTGAGGGCTCTGTGTTCGCTTTCACCTCTGCACTGATTTAATCCGAGACCTGGGGCAAGTCTCCTGAGCTCTGAGCTCGTTTCCTTGTCTGTTAAAGGCAAGGTGTCCAAGCCATCACCCACGGATTTAAGGATGCTTTTGGGGAAAATTACAGAGCTGCCTTCTTTCCTCTGCCTCTGGTGTGCTCGGCAGGACTGTGCCTACTGTCCAGCCTTCCCGGACATCTGCCTCCAAAACAAATCTGGCACCAAAACAAAGGTGGCATTAGTCAACACAAAGGGCTCAGGTACCGTTTTATTCCTGAGTACTGCTGTCAGGTGAAGGGTTGCCAGGAAGGTCTAAGGGAGGCCTAAAGTCTGGGAGAAGGATTAAAAAGAATAAGAAAGAAAAAGAAAGGAGCGGAAGAGAAAGGAACTTGGCAAGCAGAGTGGGGAAACAAGATTGAGAGAGTCTGGAATTACTGGGAGAAACACACATGGTTGAGCAGGGCACAGGGGCAAGCGGTAGTCTACCAGTCAGATCTGTTGCAGGTTCAAAAGGCAAAGCAGAGAAAGGATGTTAGACTAACTTTCTGGTATGGTTATCTTGCAGAAGGAGGGATCAGATTCTGAATAATTTTAGCCCTTGAATAGCAGGTGGCACTGGCCAGCTGGGTGGGGCGAGGACTGAGTGGCCAGGTGAGGCCAGGAGGACTGGAGGGACCCCATCACCGAGACAAAATGGTGAGTACCAAATAGAGGCAAAAGGTCAAGGTGAGGAGCTGTTGGTTCGAAAGAGGAAGGTGAGCCCCACTGGTGAATCTAGAAGCTCAGGCTGAGGCCAGAGTCTGAAGGATTCGGATCAAATCTAGAGGGCAGGACACATACCAAAACTGAGCAGCCAGCTGGGGTTAATGATGTGGGATCCAGACTTGGAAAAGGACCCAAGAGGAAGCATATGGCCTGAGTGTCCTAAGAAGGATGAGTATCCAGAGTGGCCTAAGAAACAGATGGATGGAAAACTGAGTGCAGACAGGGAAGCCTGAAACCACCCACCTACTCAGTTATAAGGAGGCAGGTCTTCACAAGAACATTAATCCATCACCACCATGCATCCAAATACCAGGCACATGTGCCCTCTGTCCTGGCTTTAAGTCCTACTGGAAATGGGATTCCACTGGTGTCAGGGTCTGGGGTGGCAGTGCAGGTGAATGACTGGGTCCTCTGTTGAGGCATCGTCATTCTAACCCTCACCTCTGAGGACATATCCCATAGATAGAGGTCAAAAAGGGGGAGAGAGACACTTTGACGACTTTGCCTCCAAGTGCTTAAATCCCCTTCCTTCTTCTCTACCCCACTCCTACTGTCAGTGGTGCAGGGAGAAGAGAGGGAGGGGGGGCTTGGAAAGAGAAAGTCTGAGGTGACAGCCCAGCTCTGCTCTCTGCCAGCTTTGAGCGTCAGGCAAGTCGCGTACATTCCCGGGACTCTGTTTCCTACTCTCTAAGACAAGGGGCAGGACTCAATCAGTGCTTCTTAAGTTTCTGAGTCTTGCAATGGTATGGACCCCCTCCCCAGAAAAAGAAATGTACAGATATGCAAACTCACACATTTTTCTTTCCACTCCTGAGGGTTCACGGACTCCCTGAAGCCCGTTAGTGGATCCTTTCCAACGTTTCTCAAGGTGTGGCCTGTCCAGAGACCACTAGCATGACAGAGGCAGATTCCTGTTCCCTTGCTAGACGTCCTGAATAGCAATTTATCAGGATGCGGTCCAGTCACCTGCATTTTTTACAATCATTTCAGATGGGTCTTATGTTCACTCAGGTTTGGGGATCACTGGTCCAGTCCACAGCCCAGGAAAGTCTCATTTGTATTAGATGTTCTCTAAGGCCACTGTCACCTCCAATGGTGCCTCAGCTCTACCAGAAGACAGTGCATGCACGAATTGTGGCGACACGTCACAACTCAGCATAAGGCGCTTTCAGGCTTGAGCTGACAAAATTCTCTTGTAATATGGAGTCCCTTTCCCTTGCCCACCCTCTGCTTCTACCTCTCAGCTGATAACCTAAAGCAGGGTCTTTTCTGTTTCAGCCCTCGGTTTAAGACCAGATATGGTTTTCTGGACAATTTCTTTAACCACTTGGCTCTGGTCCTAGCCAGACTTTGCCCAGCAGATGACCCTGGCCTTCTTCCTGGCCGTGAAATCTCAGTTTCCTGTGCAGACCTGCTATCGCCATGGGTTTCTTTCCACTCTCCAACTCCCACCGCTGGTACTTCCCCTACCTCTACCTTCCTGTCTTCCTTGTTCTGAGTCTTATCTTCTTCCAGGGCTTCAAGCTATAGGATTCTGCTCATACATCACCTTAAAGAGGCCCTTTCCTAGGACCCTACCTTATGATGCTGTGCCCCGCCTCAGTTACTCTTCATCACATGCCCCTGTTCTGTTATCATCCTGGAACTTATCATCCCTGAAATTATTCTGTGTATTCACTTGCTTCCTTTTCTGTTGTCTGTCTTCCCCTCTCCTCCTGCATAGTAGGTGCTCCGTAAATGTCTGCTGAAAATTGAATGAATAAATAAATGAATCAATGACTTTTTAAGGCTATTCTTAGCAGGCTGGTACTCCAGCCCCTCAACTCTATTTTGCCTCTCTGTGAGCCCACAATCTCACTCCAGAGCCCTCTTAGCTTTGGAGTCCATAATACTGCTCCTTGATCCTGTCACTGTCTGGCTGTTTGCTTGGGGCGAGTTATCAACGATTCTGTACCTTAGTTTCTATCATTCGTTTGTTCACCAATGTTTATTGAGCTCCTACTATGTTTTCTAAGTGCTGGGGATGCAGCAGTAAATAAACAAAAATCCCTACCTTTAAGAAGAGTCCATTCTATCAGAAGGAGACAAATAAAAAGTAGTGCTAAATAAATAAAATGCATTGTGTATTGGTGATAAGTGCAGGAAAGTGGAATGAATGGGTGAGGAAGAGGGCCTCTGAGACAGGATAATAATAGAACCTACATCACAGAGTTACAATGTATGAAGTGAGTCAACGTGTCTAAGGTGGGAAGCACCTGGCATTTAGCAATCACACCTTAAATGTTACTTATTATTACTATTTTCATCAACACACTCTCCCAGGCAAGATGTCTCTACTCCATTTACGATTCATTATATCTACGTCCCTAATATTCCATCACTCCAATATACACTAGATCCCTTTATTATTTTTTGTGACTAATTTTTAAATACTGGAGCTCCTACAGTTATTAAAAGTTCACTTTTATCTCCCTCATTGCATCTGGAATCAACCTCAACTCACAAATACCTTTGGAAAGAGTGGTTTATACTGCACTACAGGACTGCATGTCCCTGAGCACGTTTTGAGTATGCTGTCCCACTGCCAGAGGGCCCTGTCCTTCCTCCCTGCCCTATTCCATCCCCACAGCTTTGTTCCCTAGGCCGAACTCATCACTTTTCCATGACACCTCCCATCACACCCCTGCCCACCTCCCAGAGGCTCATCACTCCCACTTTGCCCTTAACACACCCCCATCGAGCACCAATCAGACCACGATGCACTAATGAGCATCCTCACCAGCTTCCCCAGCTCCACTGAGGTCCTAGAGAGCAGGTTATCTTTTCTCCTTTGAAGGCACAACAGCTAACACAGTCAGGCATTTAGTTGGCCGCCAATAAATATTTGCTAAATTTTGTTCAAATACATAGGGAAGTTGAATATGGTCAGTTCATAGTTGATTTGCTCTTAAGTGAAGCCAAAATATCTTATGAAAAGTTAGGCAAAATTGGCATTATGTTTAAATTAGAAATTAAACTTAGAAATTTAAACTTAAATTAGAAATTTAAACTTTAAATTAAAATTAGAAAAATTTCAGTTTTACCCGTCATGCACATGAGCAGCTGTCATGTGCCTCTTATAACGAGCTCTCCTAACCTTTTGACGTGTGGAATGTGACTTCAAGAATAATTCCAAGGGGCTTCCCTGGTGGCGCAGTGGTTGAGAATCTGCCTGCTAATGCAAGGGGACACGGGTTCAAGCCCTGGTCTGGGAGGATCCCACATGCCGCAGAGCAACTAGGCCCGTGAGCCACAACTACTGAGCCTGCGCGTCTGGAGCCTGTGCTCCGCAACAATAGAGGCCGTGACAGTGAGAGGCCCGTGCACCACGATGAAGAGTGGCCCCCGCTTGCCACAACTAGAGGAAGCCCTCGCACAGAAACGAAGACCCAACACAGCAAAAATAATTAATTAATAAACTCCTACCCACAACATCTTCTTAAAAAAAAAAAAAGAATAATTCCAAGGAAAACTCCTTTTGATAATATCAAGATAATATCAATGTAAGCATAGGTTGTAATGTTGGAAGAAGCCTCAACAGAGTGAATGGTTCAGCTCCCACCCCTTCACAGAATCTTTATGGTCATTTTATAGTTAAACCCACAGGGATTAAAGACTCTTCCCAATGTCATCTAGCTAGTGGGCAGTAGAAAGCGGTTACCTTCAAGAACTAATGTCAGTGGCCTATGATTCTACGTGGTTGTGGGATTCTAAGAGGAAGATTTTAACTCATATCTCTTGCCCCCTGGTTGCTTTCTTCCACGTGTATTTTGCCTTCCTTGTTGGGAAAGCACTAGTTTCTCACTCGACACTTGAAAAACATAACCATTCATAAAT